TGAACAATAGCAAGAAACAATTTCCAATTAACAGTGATAATGACAAAAAGAAAGTTACTACAATAACTGAAATAACTAAAAATTTACCTTGTTTTGGCACAATGTTCTTCAATATTGCTATCCCATCTTTGGGACATCACCAGACTAAGCTCCATTTCCTCTTTTTCAATCTGTGGTTCATTTTCTTCATCATCACTATTTTGGGGATTTTTACTATCTCCAAAAGAGTGACATGGCGATGGCATCCTACTTCTATCCCCCTGATATCCATCACTTTCCAATCCAGCAAGAAGACGCACCAGAGCCTCATCAGGACTACTGTCCACTACAAAACAAGTGAGTCAATCAACAAACGACTTACAATTTTCTAAATAATAATAATCCAGGTAAACTAGAAGAATAAAAACATAGATACTGGCACAAGCTAAAAGTATATAGTTGGCGCAAAGGCTCAGCTATTAAAGTAGCACTCCATTCAAAGTGTAACCTGAAGACCATCTTTATTAGAATGATTTCTTAGCTTTATTACATCTCAGGGGGCCAGGGAGATAGCTCAGTAGAATAAGCATTTGCCTGGCAAGCACAATGTCCTGAGTTCAATCCCTGGTACCACCAAAAAACAAAAATGAAAAAAACTTTATTACATCTCAGAACTCATCCACATCGAATGAATCAGGATTCTAACGTAGGGTCTACGAACCTTTATTTTAATAAGCTGCCCAAACCTAAAGCTTTAAGAGTGCTGAACAAAACATGGATACAAATGTTAAAATAAATATAAAAAGTAAAATATGCAAATTAATGCTAAGGAAGTCTTAAATTTTAATAAATTTAAAGCTCTTATATGTCATATAATCTTCATTTATCTCAAAGAAAATTCATACTTGCAAAAAATAACCCAAGAGAACTTAAAAAGTAGTTAAGAATATTATTTATAATACCATTTCACACATACTAGAACTGCTACAATAAAAAAGATATATTATAATTAAGTGGTGGTAAGGCTGTGAAGAAACTGAAACCCTCAAATGCTGGTCAGATTGTAAAATTATATAACCATTTGCAGTTCCTCAAAATGCTTAACATAAAATTACCGTATGTAGTATTGTCAAATATATACCCCACCTCTTGTTTTGTATATGTCACTTAACAGTCTTGTAATATTCAAAGCAATTAAATCTTTTTATAAGCTCAAGAGTTGAGTTGGAAGTCTCTAGGTAGCTTCATAATACAGACTAGGAGCAGAAAGACCAAGGCAGGGCTATAGTTAGGATCTGGAGTTCCATCTTTCAATCTCTGGAGGAATGGAGGGGAGCTGAAGGTTGCGTTGATCCGAATTAGCTAATGATTTAATCATTCATGTTTACATAATTAAGCAGCAATAAACACTAAAAAAGACTGCATTCTAAGTGTCTCTGAATAGCCAAACACCTGAAAGTTCCTGAAGGATGGCACATCCCAAGAAAGCTCCGTGTTCTTTCCCTGTATCTTGTCTTATCCATCTCTTCTTCTGCTGTTAATCAGTATATCCTCTGTACTATCCTTTATAATAAGCCAGTAAACTAAATATGTCCCTTAGTTCTGTGAACTGCTTCATAAAATTAATCAAACTATAATATGGGGACTGTAAGAACTCCAATTTATAGCCAGTCAATCAGTCAGTCTACTTTTTCTTTAGGGAGTGGGGTAGTGGGGATCAAATTTAAGATTTTATGCTTGCCAGACAGGCACTTGTGCCACAAAGCTATATCCCTGGCCCCTAGAAAGTGAGTCAGAAACAAAGGTACAACAATCTTGGACTTATGACCCCAATCTTGGGAGACACTAGTCTTAAGGACTAAGCTCCCTATTTATGATATAGATGCTGTTTCTAGGCCAGTGACAGTGAATCTATCAAACAAATGTTTTTAAGACAAAAGATGTTAATGTATGAATTGATTTTTGTTTCAACTGAAAATCTCAGTATCCAGGTTTAACTGCAATGAGGGAACTTTTTTCCTTTAAATTTTGTATGTATTTATTTTTATTAATTTTGAGAAACAAATAGCAATGAGACAGTTTCAAAACAGGTTAGTAGGACAGTTACAATAATTAATACATTGCATATTGTTGCCTTCGTAGTAGTTATTCATGGTACAAGATGAAGACATGATATCCTGTCCAAACACTATTAGTACAAATCTTTCTTCTCACTGAAGTAAGAGAAAGTAGCTGTGTATCTATCCTATTTTGTATATACAGATACATAATGGTCCTTCATTAGTTGAGAATGATTTCTGTTTTTTTGGAACTTTGTGATAAATGAGTGGGTTTGGGGCTATAGTTTCGGCACTTGTCTCTAAAAGGTTTGCCATCACTGCTCTAGGCAGACAATGTAAGACTTGAAGACATCAAGATGGTGCCTCCTACAGAACTAATTACTTGTTTGGTGTGTAGAGAAAACCTTCCACACATGAGGTCCTGTGCACACAGAAGTCTACACTGACTGACATGGTACAAATGTATAGGAGAAACTGAATTTGTTTTCTCTATAGCTACACCTGCCACCCATAAATTTCACTAATACATACAAACTCAAGCTGAAAAAATGTTCATACAGATATACATGTCTGAAAAATTATATTGGCATTGTTCATAAAAGACAGAAAAGCACAAACCACCCAAATAAAACCGATAGATGAAAAAAATGTGCTAATAGCCATATGATGGGATATTATTCAGTGAGAAAGAGAAACGAGTACTGACAGCTACTACAACATGAATGACTTTAAAAACATGATGCTAAACGAAAGCACCAATATGCAAAAGAGTACACATTATATAACTCCATTTATACGCTATACCCCAACTGTGTAGATTGAGCACAAGAGAATAAAGACTAGTGGTTTTCAAGGGCTGAAAGCAAGAATGGGTACTGACTCCTGGGGTTTTTCTGGGGTAATGGAAATTCATAAACACTGTTTTAGTTTTCTTTTGTTGATTATTATTAATGAAATAACAAATTCAATCCTACTACCAAATATAAATATTTGGCAAGAGCCATTCTGGCAATGATTTATTTCTGAAGCCTTCATACTCTCTGATATTTGATGACACTGAGATTGCATGTGAGCTGGGTATGATGGCACATATCTGTAATCCCAGAACTCTGGGAGGCTGAGGCAGGAAGATTACATGTTCAAATCCAGCTTGGGCAACTTGGTGATTCAGCAAAAAGAAAACATTAGAAAAGGTAGGGGCATAGCTGAAGGTAAGATCCTTGGATTCAATTTTCAGTACGGGTAGAGGATGAAGGGGTGAGAGAGAGCCAGAATGTTGTTGGTTTTGTTTTGTTTTGGGTTTTTTTTTGTATTTTTTAGGGAAGGGTCTACAGTGTGTTCAGGGTCTCACTACTAGATCAGACTCGTAGTGTCCTCCTGTTTACAGCCTCCCAAGAACTTGGATTACACAGAATGTATTTTGGAACCTTAAGAAGGGCAGAATTTTATCTGCTAATGATACATTTGATGAAAATAATGAAATGTGCATATGCTTCTCAATCTTTTATTTCCCTAAATTTTTCTATATGCCTCTTTTGACCATTTTATAACTAGAAGGTAACTTTAAATACTTTGATATATTAATTTCATTCACATATAGAAATACATTATAGAAAATAAGAAATTTTTAAAAATAAAATAAATTTTAAAAAATACATTATATTAGACTGCAAACTTCAAACTAACTTTTAATGTGGTCTTAGAATGATTTATGCATGTGACCACTCATTTAAAAAAGAAATTAGTCACTCATTCTGTTCTAAAACATTTTTGAAACATGAGTATGAATAATAATTCAGTACTGTCCATAAGAAAATATAAATAACAGAGGGGGCTGAGCTTATATTTGATACTATAAAATTTTTTTAGATGTAGAGAGAAAAACAATCATAACATTGATTAAATCAAACAAAATAAGAGACATAAAATATAATCATATCTCATTTATGCAACAAAAATGCTAAATTTCTGCAAAAGATCTGACTGAAAAATTTGATTTATGATGCTAATAAAATGTATTTAGTGTGATACAAAGATACTTAGAGGTAACTGCTGTGTGCTATGCTAACCAAAAAATTAGCACTTGAAAAAGACTGTCAAGTGAATTTTCTGATAATTTGCTGTTTTATTAAGCGTACTTTAGTTTACAGAATTAAACATAAGTACATTTCTCCCCTAAAGTAATTTTTTCTCATTTTTTTTAAAAAAAATTATTTCCTCGGGTCAGGGAGATGGCTCAGTAGAATAAGCGCTGCCCTGGCAAACACAAGGGCCTGAGTTCAATTCCTGGTTCTAAAAAAAAAAATTCCTAATGGTTATTTTAGAAAAAGTTATGTTGAAAAAAAAAAAAAAAAGTTTACCTGAATTAACATAAGGTTTTATGTTTACATTCAGAATATGAAACATCAATCTCTTCAGGTCAAAGAAAAAAATACCTCTTCACAAAATCTAACTTCACTTACTTCAAACACTAAATATTTATGGTGCCATTGTAACTTACCAAAAATTGGTGACTCACTCAATCGCTGAGTTAAAGGCTGAAAAGTCTGACTATTTTCCATGAGGTTCAAAATTGCTTCTTCATTAATAAGGGCTTCTCCGACTTTATGTGTGGTGTCACCTTAAGATGAAAAGAATACAAAAGCTTTAACATAATGTCCTAAATCTGAAAGTTATTATTTAAGACTTTCTGTAAGTTAGAAGCATTATAAAGTAAGCCTATTTAAAAATTTGAAGAATTACTGACACATGCTAAAAATAAAAAGCCACAGAAATACCTAACCTGTTATACGGATTAGTGAAAAACTAAACAAAACACATAACCTCCCCATCTCCCAAGTCTATGGATCAGCAAATAGTTACAATCTCTTCCATCATTCTGATTCTACCTACTGTGCATAAATAGTTGTATTACTCTGATTTTTTAAAAAATGAATTATTTAAAATATAAAGGAAAAACTTATTTGACAAAAACTATTCTCTATGTCAAAAAATTCATTCTTTACCATTTTTTTATTTTTCAGAAAGCCTCCAGTTCATTCTCTAAAAATAGTAGTATTTCAACATTTGTAGAAGATCTGAAGGGACTCAATAAGTTTAAGAACAAAGGTAAAATAAATCACATGTTATAATATCATCAAAAGTAGAAGAACATAAAAAAAAACACATATTAGTAATGAGAAAAAGATTACACACCAAAAAAACAGCAGAAGTTTCAGGATGGTAAACTCAAAAAAGAACTGTTTTCTTGTGGTTATTATAATCAGACTTAAAACTAGGTTCATTTAAGTTTTTAAAAAAGCATTAAGGGGCCGGAGAGGTGGCTCAGTGGAATAAGTGCTTCCCTGGCAAGTGCAAGGGCCTGAGTTCAATCCTTGTTTTTGCCAAAACATTAAAAAAAAAAAAAATAAAAAAAAAAATTAAATCTTTCAAAAGAATTACTTTAAAGGTAAAAAAAAACCTTAGGATAGAGCTGGGCTAGTAAAAACAAAACAAAACATTTTTAAAAATCATTAGAAAAGACCGATTAATAGAAAAGCACATTCTCTGAAACCAATAAAAATAAAGACTAGAATGATGAATACAATTTATAGAGAAGGTATAAATTATCTTAGGAATAGAAGGGGGAATTCTAAAGGTAAAATAAAGACGTTAATATTCAGAAAAAATGACACAAACCTAGTTCAAACAAAAAAACAAAGTCTGAGGGCTGGGGAGACAGCCTGCCTGCCTGGCAAGCACAAGGTCCCAGCAGAAGGCTCCGGTGCGAACAGGACAGCTCTGAAGCTGAACAAGGGAACGTCTGTCACACTGGGATCTGATAAAGGAAGAGCTATCAAATAGTATGTTCTTAACAGAGAGTAACATGCTAGAAGTGGGAGAGACCCTAGGGACAAGTAGTCCTGTTAGATAAATGTTATCATAACTAGCTAAACACACACACACACACACACACACACAATTCTTATATATTATATAAACTAATTTTCAGATGAATTTTAAGAAGACTTCATTTAGAAAAACCCAATTCTAAACATATAGGTCTTAGGACAAATACTTTTTTTCCCCATAATTTTATTGATAAACAAATAGCAATGAGACAGTTTCAAATCAAACTGGTAGGACAGTTTCAATAATTAACACATTGCATACCTTCTTCTTAGGACAAATACTTTAAAACTTTTGTTATATCAAGGTAGGGAAGGTCTCAGAAACTAGATACAAAAACAAACTATTTGGGAAGATTTTGGTAAGTCTGATACTAAGATTAAATGCATACACAATCCTAAAAGTAAAAATATAATTTTTTTTAAAAGAGGAAGACAAAAGAAAGTGAAAATATTTTGAAAACTATTACATTATGAGCCTTGTTGGGAACAAAATATTCCTGCAACAAATAACTGACAAAATACAAGAAACTCCTACACAATCAAGTGAGAAAAAAACCAGTAATCGAGAGAAAATAAGCAAAGAACATGAATAACCAGTTTGCAGATAAAGATAAACCAAATGGCCTTTAAAGGTGTTCGAATTCACTGGCAGTTAGAAAATGTAGATTAAACTCAGGAAATGACCATATCAAATAATCATATTGTCACAACATTTTTTATTTAATAATTTCCCTCTATCATTTGGCACTATCAATTGTTGAGGGTTCACTGGACTATAATATCTGCATGTGAATAAAAAGACTACTGAGAAGAATTTTAATTACTGTCTTATTTAACAATCATGCATAATGTAAATTACAGAAACACTAGAAAAGAGATGTTATCTGGATAGCCTACAAAGTACATATGGTAGCATTTATTTTTTATTTTTTTGTGCGGTACCAGGGATTGAACTCAGGGCCATGTGTTTGCCAGGCAAGCACTTATTCTACTGGGCTATCTCCCTGGCCCCAGTATCATTCAGAAAATAATACTTCTATGTGTTTTGCAAAGAAACTCTTGCACGTAGACATAAAAAGACAGCATTCTGCAAAGGTGAAAATCATCAAAAACTACCAGTATAGAATGGATCACCTGTGAAAACGTTTTGGAATGGAGCATTAACCAACAGCTAAAATAAAGAGACAAGTGTAAATTTCAAAGTGTTAATATTGACATAAAAAGGTATTCAACAATCTTTGACTTACAATTTATTTAAAAGACATTGTATGATATCTTCTCCTAGTATTAGAAACTCTAAAAAGTATATTCCCATTTTCTGTTGACTTTATATTACTTCTTCCCTGTCTTTTATAAACACACACACACACACACACACACACACACACACACACACATATAGAAAAAAATATGTGTATAACCCAACATAAGATTGGTACTTTTTCATAGAAATCTGCAATGACCTTTAAATAAGGGTTCATCTAATATATCTTTTATATAGTCCTGCATAACTATCACATTGAGGGCTCTTTATCAATCATCCAGGAGCATGCTGCAACTTCTCTTGCCTTTTGAATTATGCTCTTTGTTATTTCCTATATGCTACTTCTGGAGGTATTAAAATATTTCAAGTTTGTATAACTAGAAAATCTTACTTTTAGTTTTCAAAGGTATGTTTGCTAAGTATAAAATTCAAAGAGGACAGATCTTTTCTTTCAGTCCTTTCATTAATCTAGTTTTTTACACATTTGGTCCTTTTTTTCTTTCTAATGTGGAATAAGATGCTATTTAATTTTGTTCTTCCATAGCTAATATTTTTATGTATATGATTTAATGATTTTCTTTTTTTTTTTTTTTTTTTTGCTCCGAATGCCTTCAGGGAAGGTTTGGCATTAGGCTTGAGTTGTGGGGATCTAACCACAGCAACCTGAGCCTGACTGCTTTGTTGAAACAGCCACTTAAAGAACTGAGCTAAGGGGCAGGCCCCCAATGATTTTTTTCTTTACAAGAAATTTTGGACAATTTCATTTTTGTGTATCTTGGTATGATTTTATTTCAATGTCTTTGCAAAAGCTTCATTTTTCTTGGAAATGTGGTATTATAAGTTGAACTAAATTCAGAAATTTTAAATCTTTAAATATTTATTGCCTACTTTCTACTTTTCGAATTCTAATTATATGAATATGTTTCTTAAACCAAGACACAGTGAACTATTATGACTGATCAGTAAATTCTTTATTTTTATTTTGGACAGTTTTTATTGTTATATTCATTTATGTTTGTAAATAATTTATTTTCAATTTGCAATCTAATAAAAAATAAAATAATAAAATAAAAAAGGTATTCAACAGCATTAGTAATAAGTGGTATGAAAATTAAAACTTATGAGAACCATTTGTTTCATTTTAGTTTCATTATTTTACAATACTTCTCAAGACATTTATTCTAAATTTCATGTGCTATGGTCTCTAGCAGCATTATTCTTATCAGTCAAAAATAAAAAAACACAAGTATTTATGAACTGAGATGGATTATCAAAATACATATTCATATAACACAGTATTTTTGGCAATAAAAAGAAATACTGATACCAGAATATAAACTTTTCAAGTACTGTGCTAAGTTAAAGACAGAAAATAAAAACTACCCATTATATGATTTCTTTAATATAGCCCCGATAGAAAAGGCAAACAGAGGGATAAGAAATTAGACAAGTAGCAATTAGGGATAAAGAGGGGACTGGAAATGAACACAAGGGATCCTTCGGGTTGATAAAAATGCTCTAAATTGGATTGTAGAGATATTTGCTCGACTCCATAAATATACTATAATCAATGAATTATACAGTTAAAATAAACAAATACTATGCTCTGTAAACTATATCTGAAGTAAGTTGCCTAAAATATATAATGTTGAGAAATCAAAAAATGCCAGTGAGGTTATAGGGAAAAAGAAACTTCTACAAAACTGGTGTAAATGTGAACTGCTACAACCACTATGGAAACTGGCATAGCGATCTCTCAAAAAACTAAAATTAGACATTACATTTTTCTCAGCTATGCCTTGTCTGGGTCCCTACTACAAGAATTAAAGACATATTACAGTGATACATGCATATCATGTTTAGCAGCATAATTAATAATAGCTCAATTTAGAAAGTAACCTGTATGCCCATCTACAGATGAAAGGGCAATGAAAATGTGATGACAGAGACTGACAGGATAAAAGGATTCAATCACAAAAGTAAATTTCAATTATTTGTAGGAATGACTTCCTCGGTTTTTTCTTCTTCAGTTGTTTGAGATGGTTTCATGCTGTATAATTCAAGCTGGCCTTGAACTCACTATGTAGTCTAGGCTAACCTTGAACTGATAGCAATTCTCCTGCTTCAGCCTCCCAAGTGTTGGGATTACAACTGTGCACTACCATCTCCAGCTGGAAATGGATACAGCTAAAGACCATAATGCTAAGCGAAACAAATCAGACCTGGAAGATTAAATATCACATAATTTAAATTTAAAGATCAAAATAAAATAGATAATAGAAAAAAGAGTAGACTTTGTGGACATGGGAAAGAGATATAAGGATGAGGTTTTGGAGGGACTGTTGGCAGTGGAAGAGAAGAATGATTAAGATTCCACATGTGTACATACTAGTTTTCCAAGATGAATATAATTTTTAATCTCAAAAATACTGAAAAATTTTAAAAATAAAAATATACAAAAGTCATATACATTGTGAGCACGTTTCACATATAAACATATCTTGGTACGTTCTTTTCGTATAAAAGAACGTACCAAGATATACGTATTAACAGTTTGCATCTACTTCAGGAAAGGGCTTACCTTTAGAGATGTTGAAAGGATAAATGAATAGAAGAAAAGATCTTTATTAAAGCCATTTTTTACTTCTTAGAGAGAAAAAGTGCTAGCAAACTCAGTTGAGTATTTGCTAGATACAACATATCTGTTATATTTTTCTGAATATCTCAAAAGGAAAATCTCACCTTTGGTTGACTCTGTGTCTTTGTGGACTTCTATCATATTGGCTGGAGTACACTGAAGCATTTCAGGAGACAGAATGTCAGAATGCAACGTTAACTCAGCAGAGAACTCCTGGGATCCATCACTGAGGTCCACAGATCCTGATAATGGTCTGCTTTATAACATCAAACATACAAATATCATACAACATGTCCTTTATATCAAATTAGGTAACAGGAATAAAATTAGTTCTGAGATCTATAATTAATAACCACTTACACGGAGAAATCATTCTGCTTGAAAATTTCCTGAAGTCTCTTCTGAAATTTTTTTTCATTTTCTGTTGCTGGCACAAATCTGCGATCTTTGAATTTCAAAAGTGCATTAAAAAACTGTAACAGCAAATGAACAAAATACTTTTCCTTTTCTCTAAAGCAGCTTTTAAAATGACAGCAGTTTCCTACCTTTCTCTTGACACATATGCCATCACCTAAATGTAGTCCTATTATAGGATCACACAAAACAGAAATGGTTGAAGTCACCATAAAGTTCTATAATTATAACCTAAATCTGAAAAAGGAAAGCATCGCCCTACTTATAAAATAACGTATATCTTAAAACTAGAATTTTTTCCTTATAAAGTGTTTTTATTTTAAAAATAAGGAGCCAGGGAGATAGCTCAGTAGAATAAGCACTTGCCTGGCAAGCTCAAGGGTCTCAGTTCAATCCCCAGTTCTGCTAATAAATAAATAAATATAAAAAGACAGATTTAAAGTATATCTTTTCTTAAAAAAATAAAAATAAGTCAAACATTTTTAGTGTCCTAGACATTAGAGTACCTTACATACACTTGCATTTTGAATTTTCTTTTATTCTTTAACCTTTGTTAAAAATTTGTTGCATCTGTTGTATCTATTCAATGCTTCTCAAATTCTTTTTGAATGTAGCAACATTTTATTATAAATCAACAATGATCAAAGAGAGTTTATGCTGCCATTGCCAGAAAAAAATTGGGAGCAGTATTTTCAAAGCTCAATACACTACAGTGTTTCCATATTGACAAATCATGGTTGTTTTACAGTTCACTTGGCAATACAGAAGGTAGTACAATAAAATAATATTTGGAAGACAGTTATGCAGATAATCATTGGTTGTACAGTAATGCCAATAGAATAATACACAGAAAATTTAAAGGTAATTTCAAAAGTCAAATCTAGTTTCTAGGAAGAAACCACAACAGGGAAGATATATTTGGTATTACAAAGTATCACTGGAGTATCATTACTGTATACCTTGTGACTCAGGTTGGCTAAGTTGAGAACTTTCATTTCTATTTCTTCGCCGTTGCTTTTCATCTTCCCAGATGGCTTGCAGACCAGGGTTTCCATCAATCTGAGCTGCAATCACAGTATCAATGATACTTCAATACTGCAAGGGTCAAAGTAAAAACTTCACATCTAATGAAAAATCTAAACTTTGGTAAATATTGCCTTTTAAGAAAAACAATTACTTGCTTTGTGTAATAAAAGAGAAAGACTACCCCATCCTACATGGTATTTCCTCTTTTAGATTTCTTCCCCTTGATTGTCTAAAATCTAGTAAATACATAAAATTTAAACAACTGGTGAGAACCAACAGATCCTAAGAGTTTTCTTTCTCATATATAATCTGAAGACAAAACAAAAGTCGGAGTGTATTAAATTATTTAATACTGGGTAATTTTATTTAGTGTCACACTATAGTTTTATTTCTAAGCAAATATATCATAATGAATATTTAAAGGAAAAAATAATGACTCATCAGAAACAGAAGTGGCTTTCATTTTTATGTATTTATTTTTATATATTTGGTACAAGGTCTCACTACACAGCTCAGACTTGTAGTGATCCTCCTGTTTTCAGTCTCCCCAGCCCTGGGATTACAGGCATGCGCCACCACGCCTGGGATTGGTCAATGGCTCAGGGTGCCCGAGAGCACAGCCAGCACAGCCTGTGGTGCCTGGGATCGAATCCCAGTCCCTGTACTTGCCTAAACTATGCTTAGTCCACTGAGCTATCTTGCTGGCCTTCAGCAGTTTTTAAAATATTTTGTAACCTGTATACTATTTCAGTTGCCTAATGATAATTCTAGTCTATTTTGGTCATTAAGTTTCACAAATAAAACTATGTATTAAAAATAACTGTGTATGTACACTCAATGTCCAGTCGATTTAAGATGTCAGCAGCTACAGCATCCACTTCTAATTCGCACGTACTCTGTGGCTCAACACCTTCCAGTATCAAAGAGCTGTAATAAAAAGATATCAAAAAATGTTAGATCAACGTTCATGAGATTTTTTTCCTTGAAAGTCTTTCCCAAGACTTTGTCCACAGCTATCAGAAAAACTGATATTAATTCACAATTATTTATAACATTGCTATCATGTGCACATAAAAATGAAAAAAATAAAAATTCTTTTTCACTGAAAACCCTAGAGATACCTGCCAGTATGTTTTACATATTCTGTTTCACTATATTTTATATGTAAGGAATATCCAATGTTTTATCATGTGGTCATGCCTGGGTCAGAATGGAATAAAATAGCAGAGGTAGAACAGAGTGATGTATCAAAAACCATACACATAACATTTATTTTTATTAATTTATTTTTTGCATTTTAGGGAAGGGTCTACAGGGTGTTCAATGTCTTACTACTAGATCAGACTCATAATGACCCGCCTGTTCACAGCTCCTAAGAGCTGGAATTGCAGGAGCACGCCACCATGCCCAGTCTCAATTGCCTTCTCAGTGCTCTGGGGGCGGGGCCAGCATGGCAGGCCCAGGGATTGAACCCCTGGCCCCTATGCCTGCTTGTAGGTGCTTTAATCCACTGAGCTATTTGGCCGGCCCTACATTTATGTATTTGTATCTGTTGTCTAGAGACATTTTTTTTCCACCAAATGTGAAAACATGGAACAAGAGATGAGGGAAGGGGAACATACCGAATGGTGAATAATATTCATTGTTTTTCTGCCCTCAGCTGTTGGGCTGAGGAATGCTTTAAATTTTTTTATAAGTATGGAATTAATAAACTACATGAATAGTCAACACAACTAGCAAAAGTGATACCACAAGATTAATTTTTAGCAAGAACTACAAGAGGGCTTTTTTCCACTAACACCCTTTAACACAAAAGCACTGTTGTATTCTATCAGAACCACTCAAAAAAGAGTAGGAAGATGTCATTTAGTTCTCAGCACTTGTCAGAATGAACAGACAGCATTTAGCATGGATCTCAGTTCATTCATTCCAACATTTAAGTCTTCTACCAAAATTAAACATTAATACAAAAATAACTATGATTTTACTTGAAAGTGAATGATAGCATACTTCTTTAACATTTGGTTCTGATGTATTTTTAATGTTTTAGTAGAAACATATAAGCAAATCCTCATTTCTGCTGTGTATTCTTTCTTAAGGAAACTCTGATGATATTACTAATTTGCTACCCAGGAATCCCAGACTTTGAAAGACTGAGAGTGGTAAGCAGCAGTAAAAGAGCCTCTCTGAGATTTGGTGTTCAAACATCAGAATAGTGCAATTGTGAGGAAGAGAAGAGGTCCCTGGGACCCAGGAAGGAGCTGAAGCTAGAACTGAAGCCCACAGACAGAGCAAAGAGAGAAGCATTAACTAAGAAGGAAGACGAAGGCAGCACTTTCTCTATGAGCCTGGACTCGCCGCATGGGAGGGGTAGCTGGAAACTGCAGAAGCACAGGGAATGCTAGCAACCCCAGAGGCCTCTGAGAAACACACACAAATGGAGCAGTTTGGTGGGCTTGGAGGACTGAAGTGGCTGGTTTGTTCTCAGAGAGGGCTCAACTGAGCTCAGAACCCTGAGCAGCTGGCTGCTTGCTCCACTTGTGGCTCCCAACCAAATTCAAGTCTGCATGGGACAAGGAGACTGCTGTGGGCTGGACTGGTCTAGTGTGGTTCTAGCCTCGCAACCACAGGCTACCCTGAACATCATTAGAGACAGGGTGCAGGTTTGCTGGAATTAACCTCTACCCTGCCATGGAGTTGCTACCTGCTGGGACTGACATACATGAGTTTGGGATCTTCAGCCCATGTTGTCTACCACTGGTAGCAGGGACACACAGTGAAGTGGATTATTTTTTCTTTTCTTTTTTAAAATGTTCTTTCTTTTTTGTTTTGTTTCATCTTCATTGTTTGTTGTTTTTATGTATGAACATAATTTCTAGATTTGTTGTTATTTTGTTGTTATTTCTTCCTTCTCTCCCTCTGGTCTTCTGTACCAGTTCACAAAGTTTATATGCTCCTCTTTCATTTTCCACCCTTGCTTATGATCTCTTCCTTTTCTGGAGGTTTGCTTTTTTTTTTTTTTTTTTCCTTTCTGGTCTTTTTGAGACCAGGTTACACTACATAGTTCAGGTTGGCCTAGAACTCATTAAGTAGCCCATGCTGGCCTTGGAACTCCCAGTGATCATCCTGTGTCATTCTCTTCCTTGTCTTCTTTTTCTCTATCCACCCCCCTCCACCTCCAACCCTCTTACATTTTTTCACCAGAGGGTAAAATTTCCATATTCAGTTTATTTACTGCATATAATTTTCTGGTTCATTTTGGATTTTTGTTATATAACCACAAATCTAGTTCATATGGTTAAAAGTGGCATATTAAGTTACCTTAGTTTGTCATTTTCTAGACTGTGCTTGATGCTGTTATTGCCGATTGTACCACTATTGTGACATGATTTTTCTAGCGCATATATATATATATATATATATATATATATATATATATATATATATATGTTTTGTTTTTTTTTTTAAATTTATTTATCTGGTACAGGTCTTGCTATGCAGCCTGGACTCATGGTGATGCTCCTGTTTCAGCCTCCCCACCTCTGAGATTATAGGCATGTACCACCACATCTGGTTTTCGTGGTCAGCTCAGCTGGCTTGGGGCAGGGCTGGCATGGCATGCAGTACTGGGGATAGAACCTGGGTCTTTGCATTTTCCTAGGTACTTAGACTGTTGAGCTATTTTCCTGGCCTTTCTAGCCAGTATTCTTTCTAGTATACCAAGACTGAGATTGTCTAAGGGTCATAAACAACACTAGAGGCCAGTGCCAAAAAGCCAGGGGATGAATGAAGTAGGCAGCAACTTCTTATTCCCAATAAACTCAAGAAGTAGGACTGTGCAACAGACTCAAAACCCAAAAACCAGATACAGCTGGAAGAAATCTTCGAGAAGTCATTATTTCCTAAAGGTTCTTTTTCTTTCTTTTTTTTTGCAGAACCAGGGATTGAACTCAGATCCCTGCGTTTGCCAGTCAAGCACTTATTCTACTGAGCCATCTCCCCGGCCATACCTAAAAAGGTTCTAAATACTAGGAATAAAGCACTTAGCATAGGCAATTTCTAAGTGTCTACCCAGGAATTAAACTAAAAAGAAAACAACAAAACAATAAAGAAAATGAGAAGATACTTAAACAAGATGTAACCCCAGATGCCCAGCTGACCAAAGGCAAACCTAAAGGAGGTGGAACAATCTGGACTCTCTGAAGTGGCAACAACAAAGCAATTCAAAGAGCTTCTAGAAAAAAATCAAATTAGAAATAATTTCTCAGATACCAACAGAGATGGTGACCATAATGAACGACATCCTTAAGGACTCTAGAGCAGAGAAAAAAAAAAAAAAATAGAAGTGCTTAGGAGAATGATGCAAACCACGAATGCTCAAAGTAGGAAAGAAATGGAATCCACTAAGCACATGTCAAGGAGATTAAAAATTCCACTGAAAGCATGCGTGACAGAATGAAGCAATGTGAGGACCAAATAGAACACAGAATAGTGGTTAGTGACCGGGACCAAAATCACATGGCCATATTAATAGATAAAGAAAAAGCATTCAAGAAAGTCTAACACCGATTCATGATAAAAACCCTACAGAAAACTGGAGTAGGTGGTCTGTATCTTAATTTGATAAAAAGCCATCTCTGACATTCCAATGTCTCATCATATTAAATGGACAAAAACTAAAAGCTTTCAACCTAAAATCAGGAAATATCAGGGACCCTTTCAGTGAGCCTCCACTCTCCTGCCAGGTGTTATGGTAGATGGCGAAAGACAGAAAGAAAGAACAAGAGACAATATGACAGTACAGTGGAGATCCAGGATGACCAGTACATCACAAGGAACAATCTAAGTCTTTACTGATTGAGGAGGGGATTACTGATGCTCAGAGAACTGAGGTAGCCTTATCCTATGGGATCTCGCCCTTGAGTGTCTTTATTCTTAGTGGTTTTAGGCTTAGGCTTAGTAGGTGGGAGAATTCACTAAAGGTATAATGGGAAATCCAGGATGGTGATACTGATAATCCTATATCTCTATTCTTTAGGGAAGTATGTAAAACTAGCCTTGTGACTTTGTGGTCCCCAGCAAGACAAGATAGTGATGTTCATTGTCACTACTCTTATTCAATATAGTTCTGGAAACTTTAGGCAAAGTAATTAGATAAGAGAAAGAAATACAAGGACTCATGATAGGAAAGGGAGAAGTTCAATTATCATTCTTTGCAGATGACATAAAGACCCTAAAACTCCACCAAAGACATCTAGATTTAGTAACCAAATTCAGTAATGTAGCTGAATACAACGTCAACACTCAAAAGCAATAGCATTCCTTTACACAAACAACAAAATCCTTGCAAAAGAAATCAAGGAAACAACACTTTTCACAATAGCATCCAGAAAAAGGAAACACTTAGCAATCAAAATAAAACACACATCCAGAAAGAATGGTCATCAAGAAATCAACTAAAAAATAAAATAAAAGAAAGAAAGAAAAAAAAAAAGAAAGAAGAAGAAAAAAAAAAGAAATCAACTAGTAACAAATGTTGGCTTAGCTGTGGGGGAAAAGGAACCCTTCTCCATTGTTGGTGAGAATGTAGACTGGTGAAACCACTGTGGAAATCAGTGTGGAGATTCTTCAGAAAACCAGGAGTACAGGTCCCACTCAATTCAGCTATTCTTTTTTGGTATCTTCCCAAAAGATTTAAAATGATCATACTACAGCAATATATACACACCCACGTTTATAGCTGCATAGTTCGTAATAACGAAATCTTGGAAGCACCACAAATACCTATCAACTGATAAATGGATAAAGATGTGTTTTTTTTTAATTCAATGGACTACTCTGCCATAAACAAAGCCAACCTTGAGACATTTCAAGCTAAATGGATGCACCTTGTGAACATACTCTTAAGTGAAATAAACTGGGCACAGATGTGTATATACTGAATTATTTCTCTGATTTGAGAAACCAAAAATTTAAATAAGGTCCCAAGGGTATACCAGATATTTAAAATAGACTGTTCCTTTTTTCTTTGGCAGTATGGGTGATTGAACTCAGGTCCTCGTGCTTGCCAGGCAGGAGCTTAAGCCACTGAGCTCTCTCCCCAGCCCCTTGGATATTTAAAATAGGAAATAAATATTCAACTAGGAAGGCAGACTAGGGAGGGGAGTGGGGAAAAGAAAGGTAAAAGAAAACAAAATGAGAAAAGAACCATAATGTATAATGGATATTGTGAAATAGGAATAAAATGCTCAAATTTGAAGAACTAGGGAGGAGAGAAAGGAAAAGGAAGGAAGGGGAAAAAATGTGAAAAAAAGGAAAAATGGAAGCAAAGCTTTTATTACTAGGGAAGGGAAAGGGGGTTAAGGGAATGGGGAAAAATGAACAAGATATGTAATGTACAGGTACAAATTCCTTATAATGAATATGTATACCTAAAATATACCAATAAAAATTATTACTGTGTTATGGTTGAAGCTTGGTGGTAGAATGTTTGGCTGGAATATGTGAGCCCTCTGGTGGGGGAGGGAGAAGGAAACGGTATGGTGACAAGAGCAGGAAGAAGGAGGGAGAAGAAATACAGAGAAAGAGGAAAAAGCAAGAAATAGAAGACATCTGTTAAACCACAGAATTTTTGCAACTCATGTATGTATATGTTTATATACATATATAAACACAGACACATACATACACACATGCATGACCTCACCATTGATAAAAGGCACATTAGCTACCTACCACAACATATTCCTTTAACTTTGAGAAAAAATAACTCCCAAAGTATACTGTTCTAATCATTCACATTTTTTTTTTTTTTTTTTTTTTTTTTTTTGCGGTACTAGGGATCAAACTCCAGACCTTGAGCTTACCAGGCAGGCACTTATGCCACTTATATACCTAGCCTCCAACCCCCGTTTTTTTTGTCTTTTTTGAGACAGGGTCTTACTATGAAATTCATTCTGGCCTTGAGCTCACTTTGTAGCCCAGGCTGGTTTCAAACTCTTAATGATCCTCCTGTTTCAGCTTCCCAAATACTGGGATTACAGGTGTGTGCCACCATGCCTGGATGAATTTATATAATTTAACAAAATTAATTTTGCTATAAATTAAAGGAACAGATAAAAGTTAATCTTTTCCTCTTATATTAAATCATTTCATAATTTGAAAACAAAATCACGTTATATATATCAAGGGTAAATATTCAAAAGTAACACTTTGTTAAAGAAGGGCAATAAAAACATTAAAAAACATAATCTCACAGCAGAAATTTACAATGATTACTTGCCCTCATTACAACAAAATTATAGACATTTAGATGACAGTATTCCCTGAGAGGAAATTAACCTCTATAACGAAACATCTGTTTCCAGTAAACAGAAAAAGGGTGAGTAAAACAAACGAGTCAGCAAATACATATACACCACTGTTTTAGTTATTAAAGGAATATAAACAAAACATGCTAATTTGACAATTGTACTTCTCTGAACATTTCTGTTCATAGCTAAACAGAAGAGATTTACTAGGATCATTGAAGAAAAAGGTGAATACTTGCAATTTAAGAAACCTCTCCAGATCATTCTGATGGAGAGCCAGAATTGAGACTAACACAGATTTGATTTTTGTGGAGTTATAACCTCAAAGGTCCCAGACACACGGTGATTTACAGTAAGGTGAGTGGAGCTGCTGACTTAGCATCCCTGCGTCATCACAACTCTGTTGCTATTTGTCCTGGCCCTGGTAATATGTTTGTAAAGGAAAATTAAAAATTTATTTGTATTTTTTAATAAAGGCAATGAAAATAAAGTGCTACAACTGATAAAAATGAGACCAACAAACTTGAGGAAAGTATGTATGGTAAAATATTTGATATCTGTTATTTGGAATTGGTGAAATTATAGATTTTTATTTAATACAAACATGAAAAATATATAGCTATCCTTTATGTATTATAAATTCTAATTCTAGATAGCTTGCCTAATTTTGCTGATTTGTCTCTTCATATCTTTGCTCATATTTTAATTTCTGTCTTTTGTTTCACTATTCTCCCCTTCCTTTTTCACAGTAGTGGAGATTGAACCCAGGATCTTGTACATACTAGGTGAGGGCTCTACCACTCAGCTATGCCAGCAGTTCCTCAACAACTTTTCAGACTTTTAAAAACATGTAAGGGTTTCCTCAAACTTAACTCCTAATCAGTGCAAGAGCTTCAAAATACAAACGAGCTTTAATTTTAATTGATTATCAACAAAAGAAAGGCAGTAAATACAAAATTTTGAAAACTAGGGATATCTAGTATGCATCATCACCTTATTGAAGTTATACAAAAAAACAATTCCCTGTATCTGGAACTATAAAGAAACTCAGAAGTGAATATTTATCAAAAAGTCCTGGACTGGGAAGATAGCTCCGCTGTCTAAGCATCTGCCTAACAAGCACAAGGATCGGAGTTCGATCCCCAGTACTGCATGCTGTGCCACCTGACAGCCACTGAAACCAGGCATGGTGACACACACCTGTAATCCCAGAGCTAGGTAGGCTGAAACAGAAGGATCACTATGAGTCCATGCTGTGTAGCAAGACCCTGTACCAAAGAAATAAAAGATTAAAAAAGGAAAGTCCTGAACCTTGTTAAGAAGCACAATCAAGAGTCACTGACTGTCCACTTTACTTCAAAGTCTTTACAAATTTTGTTCTATCATTTAACTAGATTCTTTAAGTATTAACAAGTTATTCTATAACACAGAAATCCTGTAAAGTGTATGTTAAGAGTATCTAAAACTATATAAATTGGGCTCTAACCAAGTACTTTTATATCTGTCCAACTGAAAAGGGAATTCATGTTTTCTTATTATAAAGGCATGTAACTATACATTTCCCTATTCTGTATTCTTCTGAGTAGAAAGCATCAGGTGATGTGTAAAGAGCAAAGCCAGTACCACTCACCAATACTCAACTGACCAATAAAATGATCAAGACAACTTTGGGTGATGCTATGTGGTATAAAAAGGAAATCTCTTATTTCAATGTAGATAAAATTACTGACAATTTTAGATCTCAATATAGATAGAATGCATGAAAAATATGGACGCTAGATAGAAGTATAACATTCCACCCCAAATTCCTATTACTAACTGGGCAGGAACCAGGTACATTTTCATAGTCTGGCTTTTAAATTTTATTTTATTTTTTTCTAATAGGGATCAAACTCAGGGCCTTGAACTTGTGAGGCAGGAACTTATGCCGCTGAGCCATCTTCTCAGCCCTTTATGGTCTGGTTTTTAAATCTATGATTCTATATAATATATTAATATTGAAACTTGCTTTGGGGGCAAATTTAAAGGTTAAAATAGCCAATATCTATTGAAACCATATATTAACAAAATGCACTAATATTAATTCAAAAAAGACCCAATATATTAAAAGGTTAACATTAAATTATGCTAACCAATGATTTCAGATTATTAGGATATGCTTCCCCCTCATTTCCTTTATGCCATTAACTAACCTTGGTATTTCATCCTCTTCCCACCTAAAGAAAGTACCAGCAAAGGAATTTCCTGATAACCGATCCTTGGGTGATCCAGTTGCAATCAATGTATCATCTAGGAATAAAAAGTAAATTTAAATAAATTCTACTTTTACTTTGTATATAATTACCATTTAAGTAAAATAATATACAACCTATGTCAGTTGTTTCTAAAATTGGGCCCTAAAAACTCATACATACAGAGAGATATGTATACATAGTTGAGAGCAATGGTTCCAAACTAAGAACTGGGGAGGAAAGAAAGAAAAAGTATTTGTGATATAGGGATGTATGAGAGATGGCTGTATTTTCATAGTACAATAAAAGTGTGACACATTTGAATGTGCTACTGTATGCTTAAAATCTCATTTGAAGATTGAAGATGTAATTTGGTGACATGCTTGCCTATATGTCAGTACAGCAAAAGAAAAAAGCTTCAACCTCTTTTGAAAGATAAAGAATTATGAATTTTTAGGCTTTAAATTCCTAGTGTACTCTGTATGGGCCTCAGCCAAAATTCTAGAGGAAATTTCATAATAAATTCAAAGCATAAACACTAATACCTAAACAAAAACAAAATACCAAAGCATTCCAAAAGTAACAGTAGTAATTCAAGCTGACTTGCATTTGAAGAAGAGACTGTATCTACCTGCTTAGGAGTCACTGTTTTAGAAGCCGAGTCGTGAGCTCACACGTCAGAGGTTGACTCAAATTTTTTAATCCTTTTATTATTTCTTATGAAAATTCAACTTTTCAAATAGAAGTTGAATGAATACCTAAAAAAATCCTAACATTTTAAGATACTACATTTATAAGTAAATCTAGTACTTTGATTTTATTGGTTAGCTTAATCACAAAATGGTGTCTGTAGAATGAGATAAGGTACCACCATTTTTACTATTTCAAGAAAACACATACCAAAACAAGCAAATGATTTTATATACATTCATAAGAAGTTTTTGTTCGTTTTTTGGTACTGGAAACCAAACTCAGGATCTTGCGCTTGCCAGGGAGGCGCTGTGCCACTGAGCTATGTCCCCAGCCCTCGCTTAGAAGTTTCAAAAGGCTTTGCTACATAATCTAACAGCATCTGTATGAAATTACTTCACAATTTGTAAATTTAAACAAACTTTATTTTCTAATAAATTTCTATGAATAAAAACCAACCAGAAATTTACTAATTCAAAGTTACCAACATATTATAAAATCACATTCTAATCTAGGGATATAGGTCAGTGGTAAAGTGCTTGCCTACTATTAGTGAGGCTAGCACCAAAGAAAACAAAAAGCAGAACAGAACAAAAACACCCATAAAAATTTAACTCATTTTACTTACAATGTGTATTTATTTATTTATTTATTTGTTTAGTATTTGGTACAGGTATGTGGCTCTGACTCATACTGATTCTCCTGTTTTCAGCTTCCCCAGCACTGGGATTACAGGTGTGCGCCACCACACCTGGACTTCGTGGCTCGCTCAGCAAACCTGGAGTGTGGGGTCTAAATGGCTTGTGGTGCTGGGGATTGAACCCTGGTCCTTGAGCTTGTCAAAGCAGGCACTTAGTCCACTGAGCTCTCGCTAACCCTACACTATGTATTATTTCAGCCTATTTCTCTAAAGAATATTAAAAGTATTTACATTTAATTTATTTCTAAATATAGACGCTAAAGAAACAATATAAAAATTCCTGGGGGCCGGGGAGTTAGCTCAGTAGAGTAAGTGCTTGCCTGGCAAGTGCAAGGGCCCGAGTTCAATCCCCGGTTCCGCAAAAAAAAAAAAAAAAAAAAAAAAAAAGTTCCTGTTGGGTGCTCAAATTATTTCTCCATTGCAGTACTTTTATATGCCTTACTTTAATAATAAGTGATTATACATGTATAGATATTTATTTACCAGAAGAACTTGGAGTTTTAACTATAAATGTGCCTAACGTACACAACAAGTATAAAACATATACTCATTCCATAATTGCAATATAACTTAATGTTAAACCAAACAAAAAAATTTACGTTAATTTTACATCATACTGCTTTTAATTTCTAATCAACTTTCACATAATTCTGCCTTTGAATTTGTAATAAAAAATCCTTCTAATTACTAAACTATCTATATTTTATTAAAAAATCCTTCTAATTACCACTTAAAAGTACCTAGTTTTTGTAAGTAAAATGGCTTATATATCTTTGCAAATTCAAACTCTCTTGTGCTTCTTCATCTATTAGAGAAAAAAATTCTATAAATACTTGCTGTATATACTCTACAAACTTTTCAATTCTTCAATCCTTAAGTTCACAACTAGAGTTGACACTAACAGGTGACTTGTTTTTCTTTATTCCCCTCAAAAACCTTTCATTTAGAACAATTTTAAAGATAAGCTACAAGAATAGTACGGATTGTTCTATACATCAGTCAGCTGATTCCCTTATACTTAACATTTTATGTTACTGTGACACAATGAAGAAAGTGACACAAGAAGATTGCTATTAATTACACTACACACTGTATTTGAGTTTCACCCATTTTTCCACTAATACCCTCTTTCTGTTCAGGATTCAAGCAGTTACCATTAATTAGTTGCTGTTTCCCCAGTCTCTTCTGGTCTATTTCTTACCTTTCCTTGTTTTTCACGACCTTGGTAACAATGAGTACTGATGAGATAACTTGTACAATGATCTTCAGTCTGAATCTGTTGTTTTCTCATTGATTAGAATGGACATTTGGAAAACATTACTAGAGGTGAGTGAAGTGCCCTTTTTATTAAATCATCTAAGAGGGCACATGAAGTATAGTTTCGTAATCTGAAAATTAGTCATGTATCCAACCACACCAGTACTGTACAGAATAAATCCTCCACTCTAGCTAGTACCAATTTCTTTTTGTTTTGTGCTTTCTGAGACAGAGTCTTGCTAAGTATGCATTGCAGGCTTACCCTAAACTTGAAGCAATTGTCCTGCCTGTCTCTCCAGTGCTGGGATCACAGGCATGCATTATCACGTCCAGCTATGCTAGTAACTAATTTCAAGCATTAAAGTTTGGCCCCAGAATCAGGTGTCCTAACCACTGATTGATTTGTTCATTTTTTTTTTTTTAAACTATGGATTAAACCCAAAGTCTTTGTATTGAACTAAATTCTCAACCCTTGCTAAATTGATATATTACCCAAACTGGGCTCAAACTTTCAATCCTCCTGACTTACGCTTTGTAGGGTGCTTACATTACAGGCATGTATCACCATACCTGGCTATTTTGCCTTTTATATCAAGTCAAATATTCCTATGAGAGAAATATTTCAATTTAAATCTCTCAATATTAATTGAAAATAAGTGAAATATCCATAACCCAAAACATTTCATTCTATAAAACATGACTTTTAAATATTGTCTATTATTTGCAATATATGAAACAGGTTTATATTATAAATGATGTTTAAGTAGTTTTTTGAGTTTCAATAATAATTTTTTTGCCTCTTTCGAAAAAACCCAAAAAACCATTTTTCCTAAGTAAATTTTCTTACAGCATTCTCACTATGTCCCTTTCACAGTCAGCAGTCTCCTCTCTCCTTTTAGAGCTTGGCAACTAAAAGTGTTTTGTACCTCAGTGGAATGCCCTATGAATGAAATCATGTAATTAGTAGCCTTTGACTGTGGCTTAACAAAACAATTTAAACATTTACTTGCATGAGTTAGTATATAGTTTAGGGGTGTTCATGGGGAGGGGGTGAGAAGAACTGCATTCCCAGCCCTTTTGTACATTTTAAAATTTAAGGCTAGACTTCAGTAAGTTGCTAAAATGCCCTAGCTAGGCTTGAACTTGTCATCATCCTGCCTCAGCTTCCCACACTACTAGGGTTTTAGGTGTGCAATACCAAAGCAGGTGTGAATCAAATCCTGTTACTATTTATAATTACATAGTATCACTTTATCCATTCCTCTGTTGAATAAATGTCTTAGTTGTAAATTATGAAACAAGTTCCTATAAAAGTTTGCATTTGGGTTCAGGTAAATTTAAATTGTGAAACACTTGAGTAAACATCAGAGGTGCAATTACTAGGTCATACTAAGTATATTCAACCTTATGAGAAAAACCATGAAATTGTCTTCCAAATGGACTATTTGCATTCCTAGCAGCAATGAATAAGAATGGCCTTTGCTTCACATTCTAACCAGCATTTGTTATTAAGGCTTTTAAGTTTTAGCAATTCTAACAGGTCTACTTTGGATAATTTGCATTTCCCTAGTAACAGATAATACGGAGTTATCACCTTTTTAGGTATTAGCCATCCTTATATATCCTCTGTGGTGACGTCCTCAATACTTTGAGAGCATTTTAAGTTGAGCTATTTGCTTGTTTATTGACTTTTAAGAGTTGTTTATATGTATTTTTTTGTTGCAATCCAAGACTGCGTATGTTAGGCAAATGCTCTACTTTAGCACTGTATCTTTGCCTGTCTTGCCTTGCCTTGTCTTTTCTTCTTTCATCTTTTTGAGACAGGGTTTCACTATGAGTTCAGGTTAACTTTGAGCTCACTTTGTAGCCCAGGCTGTTCTCAAACCAGCAATTATCCTCCTGTCTCAGCCTCCAGAGTGCCAGGATTACAGGCATGCACCACCACACCCACTTTGCTTTGTTTTTCCTTTCTTTCTTCTCCCCACCCCTTCATTTTTTGTTGTTTTGTTGTTGTTGTTGTTGTTGTTTTGTTTTGTTTGCAGAACTGGGGATTGCACTCAGGCCCTTGACCTTGCCTGGGAAGCGCTTATTCCACTGAGCCATCTTCCCAGCCCTGTTTTTTTCCTTTTCCTTTTCCTCTTCCTCTCTCCTCCTCTTCCTCCTCCTCCTCCTCCCCCTCCCCCTCCTCCCCTTCCTCTTCCTCTTCTTCCTCTTCTTCTTTTTAAAAGACAGGGCCTCATTAAATTGCCCTGGATGGGCTCAAATTTCCAATCCTGCTGCATCAACCTCCAGAGTAGCTGGGATTAGAGGCAGGTGGCAGCTCGCCTAGCTTCTTATACATTTTTTTTTATTCAATTATGTATTTAATTCATAATTCACAAATATTTTCTCCCCTGTGATTTTTCATTCTTCCAACAATTTCTTCAGACCAGAAATCAAATTTTTTTTTCTTTTCTCAATCTTCCTTTCACTGCTACATCCATAATTTCATCAAACTCAGATTTTCCCTTTTCCTTCTAGAGGTTTGATCATTTATACATACATTTAAGTCTGGAAAGTATTTTCAGTTAATTTTTTTTTTTAAATGTAGGAGTCACATGTCTGGGTTCCTTAATTTTTATTTCCCAACATATGGAGTCCAGTTATTCCAGCATTATTTGTTTAAAGACTTCTTTCACTGAATTATCAAGGCATCTTTATCAAAACTAAGTTGAATATATTTATAAGCCAAAATGAAGCCCCTTCAAAAAATACGGGTCTGTGTCTGAGTTCTGCTCAGCTCCATCAACATATGTCTGTCTTCGGTACAACGCTTATCTGTATTACAGTAGCTTGAAAGTGTTGAAATACGATAATGTGTCAATTCATCCTTTTTAATATCTCTACACTTTAATAAAGTGATTATGTATTGGATATAAAACAACACAGTCCTCACAAAGATTGAGAGTGAAGGGGTGGAAAATAAGGGGTTACAATCCAAGTAGGGAAAAAGGTATTAGAAGTCATCATCTCGTTCTTCTTCTATCCCTTTTCCTTTTCTATCTCTTTCTCTTCTGAAAACAAGTGAGCTACTAGACAGCCATCCTTCGCAGTCTTGTTCATTAAGGAGATTTTAGACTATTCTAAGACACTGAGAAGATGAATAAACTCTTTGAGATAATTTGAGATTATCATCATTCAGAACAATTAGTTATGAACAAATTAGTCATTTTGGTCTAATTTAAAGGGGAGTCACATGCTGGTTCCAATATGTTAATTTTGTATATTTTTTTAAATGTAGTAATAAGTATGTTATTACCAAAAATAGTTTATTACTTTTAAAAGCAGTGTTATATTGCATCAAAGTTGTTTCACCTAAAGATACTAATATACTGCAAAGGCAAAACAAAACCATTAGCAAATATAACCACTGTACACTAGAACTCTGCAAATAGCATTTTAGTTGATAAAGATTTGAGTTATAGTTTTCCAGCCTGTATCTAATAATTATAATATCTGCATTCTTTGCAGGGCAGTGTGCATTTAGATAGAGAACTTCCCCTAGGGAACATTGGCATTTCCTTCTGTCAGACATGAGTATATTATCATACCATCACCACCTTAAATCAAATTCCAGATTTGAGAATTTTTGAATTCCAGGAGATTCAAATAAAACTGAAATGTTTCCAAGTGTTTCCCTTCCCAGCACAGGTGCAATGTAAGAGGATATTCACCAGAGATTCTATCCCTCCGTATCTTACTCCCTGAAGTGCTCCCACCTGCCAGGCAGCACTGGGGTTTGAATTCCCTCTAGGCAAAAGCTATTTTCAGCACTCTATTCCTTTTTTCATTCTATACTTTATTGTTAAAACCTAAGCCAAAAGAAAATAAAACAGCAGCAATAGCTGTTAATTTTTTATTAAAGAAGTTTAGCTAATTTTATTAAAGAAGTTCAGCAGTGAGAGGAAAAAAAAAAATCAAAGCAAGTTAGAACATTAGGGCTGGAAGTAAAATGCTGGTTTGATTTGCCTTTGTTTTGTTTGAAAAGAGAAAAAATCTAATGAGAATAAAAGAATGTTTGACCCAGAAACTCTATTCATAGGTATATACCTAAGAGAAATGAAAACTTATGATCACAAAAACTTGTATATGAAAGTTGTTGACAGCATAGTTCACAACAGTCAAAAGGTGAAAACAATCCAAACTGTTCATCAACTGATGAAATGATAAATAAAATGTAGTACATCCAAGTAATATACTACTACTGGGTTGTAAAAAGGAATGAAATATTGATAAGTGCTGTTACACAGACAAAACCTTAAGAACACTGTATTACATATAAATACTGTACATCCCCACATTTTATATCATTCTACTTGTATGAAACATGCATGATGAATGAATACAGGGATAAAAAGTACATTAGTAGTTGCTTGGGGTGGCAGGCATAAAAACTTGCAGGTGATAGCTACAGGTTTCCCTTAGAGGTAATTAAAATTTTCTATATTTACAATGATGGCTGCACAAATCTGAATATACTGAAAACTTTCAAATTAGCCTTTCTTCATGGGTGAATTATATGGTATGTGACTAGTATTTCTGCAAAGCTAATATAGACAATTTTCCTTACAGATGCTTTTCCTGATAATCACAAATCCCATTTTACATATTTTATTTTATTCTTTACCTATTTAGAACTTATCTTCTAAATATGTATTATTTATAAATCACTGATTATATAGTATGTGATTCAAAGCCTTCATTTGAACTTGAAAATTAACCTTACTTTTCCTTCTTGCTTTTCGGAACTTGACAGCAGCCAGATTTATTAAATTCATTCCATAAAGATTGTAATCAATGAAGAGCTGTAGGAGGTAGGGAATATGTGCTTCATGAGGCTGGTAAAATTTATTCATTATGGCTCCACTTTGCAAAAGTTCACATATCCTAAATTAGGGGAAAAAAAGGTTATATGTGTTCTCTAAAATGTTAAGGGAAACAATGATTATATAAATACACAAGCAAAACATCTATTAGCACATAAAATTTTCATTTTAATTTACTGAAAATTTGTATTTTAGTAGAAATTTGAAGTTTAAAAATACAAATGTCAAAAAGTCTTCAAAAACACTTACAAATTAAAGAAATAATTTTGCAAAGACTGCATAAAAATAAAAAACTATTCCTCAGAAATGTTACTATTTTAACATTTTTTGTTCCAGAGATTTGCCTTCTTGATGGGGAATATAAACAATATACAAGTTAAATAGTATAAGTATTAAGAAGAGAAAGTACTAAAATTAGAAGAGATATGAATTGGGGGTACAGAGGGATTTGGTAGAGGAAGAACTGGAGGCTCATCTCTTTCTCTGAAGGTGAGAAACATTTCATGAGAATGAGACTGTACAAATAAATCAAGGATCAACAGAAAATATGGCTCATTTAGGAACCAAAATGACAAAGACTGTAACCTAGTGTTAAAGGTTAGAGAAGAAACAGAAGTTAAATCATGCAGTGTCTGTTAAGATATTAACAGAAATTTCCCTGAAAAATGAATAGCAAAAAAGAGAAATGACCTCATCAGCTGGAGAATACAAGGAGGAATGACTGAAGAGGATATCAGTGAAAAAAATAAGATGACTGTAGCTGAAACAAAGACCTCATAATCTACCTATTTGGGACAACCTAGATGTATAATCATTAATGAGGTGGAGACTGAGGTAGAACAGGATAATGATGCTTAGGTAACATGCTTAAGCAGCTGGCTGGCAGTGCTGTATTTACTGAAATAGGAAGGAATGGAAGAAAAACAGGTTTGCTTAGGGGTTTTTTTTTTCTTCTTCTTTTGAGGGAAATAAGGATAAATTCAGTTTTAGGCCAATGATATTTAGATACAGTACAGTATTCCTGTAGATTTCTTTGATAATATTGGAAATAAAAAACAATAAAGATTAGGATAAGAAGAATTTTGTTAACAGGCAGAAGCAGCTAACTTTTTTTTGAACACTGTAGTGGATACTTGTACAAGTGCTATAAATGATTACTTACTCCTAGGTAATTCTCACTCCAAGCCACAATACCATTACCCATTTTATAAAAATTAGGTCAAAATTAGCAAAAATCACACAAAAATTGGAAGAGCCAAATCCTGAATCACATGTTCTTTGACCTGTGAGTCTTCACTCTTTTAATATAGTGCTACTGTATTTATTCAGTAGAAGGTATGCTATATTGATCAGGGGCTCTGAAGGAAAATTTAGGGTACTGATAATTCACTGTAATCCAAATGAAGATCAACAAAAATGAATGTATGGGAGTAGATAAGGCTGCAGAAAAAAGAGACAGCATAGATGGAAAAGATGAATGCTTAAGACAGAACCCTAAGAACAACCACAGATATCAAAAGAGGTATTAGCAAAGCAGCAGAAATACGGATTAGCAGACAGAAAAACTAAAAGGAGGATTATATCACAAGAGTGAACATTTGGATTTGAGGACCTCATTAATAGTACAAGTCAAAAAGGTCAAAAAATTTGATTTAGCAAAATAGAAGTCATTAGTGAAGGTTATTTCATTGGAATGGTTGGGGTACAAGCCATATTAGTGTTAACTAAAGGGCGAATAAGATGAGAAACTGGAAGCATAAAATATAAATAAGTCCTTTAGGAAAGGCTATAAGTACGAAAGTGTGTATAAAATCAGTAGTCTCGTGAAAACTTAAATGGCAAGAGAGAGGAAACTGGGGATAACTGCTGGAAATGGCCCTTGAAAAGATAAAAAAATAACTGATCCTGAGCCTCACAGGTGGGGTGGCATAATCTCTTTCAATGAATAGGCAGGAAGAAGAGAATACATGAGAATTTAAGAGTGCCTGACAGGAAATTAAAAGAACTTTTATTCCAGTGGGTTTCAAATAATTTTGGTTCCAGGACTCTTTTTCATTCTTGAGGAAACATGGAGAACACCAAAGAGCTGTTGTTTATGTGATTTGTATGTATTGATATTTACCATATTAGAAATTAAAATAATTTTAAGAAACGTATTTACTAGTTAAAAAATACATTGATTGCTGCCATGAATGACACACATATGAAAAAATAATTGTATTTTCCAAAACAAAAGCAATCTGGTAAGATAAAAGGCACCATTATACATACAAATCTTTTAACAGAACACAGCTGGGTTCTCATACCTGTTTCTGTTCAATTTGTTGATATATATATAGAGATAGATAGATATAGATATATAGATATATAATTTAGTATAGCGTCTCACTATGTAGATTGGACTTGCAATGATTCTGTTTCCAGCCTCCCAAGCACTGGGATTATAGGTGTGCGCCACCATGTCCAGTCTTGTTGCAATATATTGATTTGGAAACATGAAAACCCAGTGTCACACAGCAATGTTGTTGGAAAAACAAAGAGAACTATAATAGTCTTTCAGATAACTGTTAATACTCTTCTTTGTTACCACATAAAAACTCAGTTTCTTAAATGTTAGCTGCAACATGAAATCCAAAGCCAAGTTGAAGAAATTTCAACACTCCATTATATTAAGAATCTACTGGTCTATCTTGCATATTGAATACTTTCTTTTACCAAAGCATGATTTTCTAATACCATATAAAGGTCACTGTGAAAACAGAGACATACCATACTGACATATAAATTTTTACTAACAATAATATTTTTTTCTTTTTTTGAAACAGGGTTTCACTATGTAGTTTAGTCTAGCCTGAAACTCACTACGTAGCCCTGGATGGAATAAAACTCACTGATTCTCCTGCCTAGGTGTCTACTACCATATCTGGCTTGAAAAAGTTCAAATTTTATCATCAGCCACAAATAGTATGAGTCATTTTTCTTGAATTAACAGGTAAATTTTATTCATTCTGAGAGGCTATCTGCCAAACATGCAAATTACTAGAACTTTATTGCTTGTTGTTTCACGTAAAATGATATTCTATTTTAAAAATAGCAAGTAGTTATAGTACTTCATACAAAGATGCTTTATGCTTATGTTCAGTTTTGACATTTAAAAATTACTAAGATGCATGTTTTAGATCAAGATCCAATAAAATTAACTTTTGCTTTTCTATATTTTTATTGCAAATTGGTGCCTTCCCCCCATCCCCCCTTTTTAAAGCTGGCTTAGTGGTAGAAAAACAAGATTTTTATTCCAATGCCATTACCTTGATTTCTGTCAACATGTCATCAGTTTTATCAATTATCAGTGAACACAGTGAAAAAGGCAAATGACATTTTATTATTTCATCAACATAATTTTGACTACAGACAGCCTCTGAAAGGGTTTCAAGAACTTTTATACTTTCAGAACCACTGCTCTACAATGATGGGTTCTATTTTCTTTCAATAAAGTAAGAAGCAAGGCCTTAAGAGGGGCATAATTTTGGAGTAAAGAGGGTAAAATGTGGTAAGGAAATATTAACAAGAAAAAAGTAGAAGTGTGACAGGGCAAGGAAAGGTCCAGGTAAAACTGAAAACCGTAAATTTGTAGTAACACCCATCTATGATTATTTTTCTCTTGTAGTGATCAGAAACTAGGGCTTAATAGCAAAAAAAAAAAAAAAAAAAAGGAACCAGATAAAAGTATTGAGAGGATAGAGAATAAAAGATGGAAAGAAGAGGAGGCATATAAAATGGGGCAGCAATAGTACAGCCAAAGAAGTAGCTAGCAGCTAAAAAACCAGAGTGACACAACTCATAAAAGCAAAAAAAATTTTTAATAAAATAAACAAAACAAAGCACCCCAGAAAGGCTCTTATGGAGACATGAAAATGTTCTAAAACTGAATTATAGCAACAGGTGGTAGGGTTCTGGAACCAGTTCCTCCCAGATACCAAGGAGATACCGAGGAATCAAAGAGTGAAGAGGCTAGCTTCCAAATGATGTTCATGCTGTTCATTCACTCATTCAACAAATATTTACTCATTACTGTGTTACAGGTACTATTCTAGGCCCTAGGTATTCAGTAGCAAACAACAGGCAAAAATCTGTATTTTTGTGAACTCTAGCATGATACCACCTACACTGGGAAATTTTAAGAAGAATGTGCATACATACCACATATGTCATATGTATACCTGTATGTATAAAAAACTAGAAGGACACCTACCAAATTCTCAGAAATGACTGTTTCTAGAGAATAATGACGGTGGGGTCCATGGTATTATTACTTTACAGGCATATTATGGCTAACATTTATATGACACTTATAATCTGGGTAATTTACAAATATTAACATACTTAATCATCAGAAAAATGTATACTAGTATCAACCTGATTTAAAGATGAGGAACACAAGACATGCAGATTAAATATCTTCCATAAAGTCACCTAGCTAGTATACAGCACAGCCAGATTTTGAATGTAGGAAACTGAATTTAGATGCTTAACATATTAGTTAAATGTTACAATAAATGACAGGAGAAAATATTTTCTTTCAGTAAATCATTATTTTTCTTCACTGTAATGTACACAATTTTTGGTTGTGTGTTTGAGTTATTCTGTTTCTCTTATTTGTTACCCAATATCTACTTGCAGAGTCCCTAAAAAGTCAATTCTTAGCATTCCTCTAAGCATGCCTTTACCTTAGGCTATCTCCACGTGCAGTGAAGATGCTTGTGAATCTGAAACAATAATGAACTATATATATGTTCCCTTCCTGTTCTCAACTATCAAAGTTCTAGAATGGTGGAGAAAGCAAGTTTTCTAAAGGCAGGAAATTTTATTGATCATTATTTACCCAGAAACATCAAACAATGTAGGTATTCCATAAATATTTTTTTAAAAATTGAATAAATGAGTTAGTCATTAATGAATTAAGAATTTCCAGATAGGCACTGAATAAGATGACTACATAATTTAAACACTAATTGGGAATAGCTAAGTATTCAGTTGTTACATCTGCAAAGAGAAAAATTGTATTTATACTATCAGTAATTTAAGTTTACAGGTTATTTATAAAGAACTTACACATAATATATATCATTCCTAGTCTAGCACAACTTACGGACAAGAAAGAGAAAAATGACTGACATTTACTTTCCTACCACTGGCTATGTGTGACATGGTAGAATTCACAGGGATTGATGTTTACTCCATAGGTATGAGAAAGTGACTAGAGGGAAACTGGTACAATAATCATTTTGGTACTTCATGTGACAAAAGCTATTTTGGTCAAGTCAGAGACTCTGTAGGGAAACTAATATTCACTGGTTATGCCAAAAGAGAGTAAATATTGGGAGTAGGGCTAAAATTCAATAGAATACTGTACTCAAGTGGTTCAATCCAGCATAAATTTTATTTGCTTGGTAACTGTGGATCTCATAGTTCTCTGACTCATTCTAGAAAAACTCATTCAATTCTTGTCTTACCAAGTAGTTAACATTCAGAATCTACTACTTACTAGCAGAGGGTGATCTATTAAAAAAAAATACGTAGCACTCCTCAAAGCCACATTTACCTGACCTTGTCAGTACATATAGGGAAAATTCTTGTGAATCTCAAAGGATAATGAAATCTATAAATATGTTCTTTCTGTTCTCAATAACCTGGGCTTTTTGATGATTGAGACAATAAGCTAAAGGCAGAAAGACTAAGGGAAGAAAACAACAACTGAAGTCAACAAAAAACCCAGGATATAAAACTGTACTACATTTCAATAGAAATCAGAACCAAGGGGCCGGAGAGATGGCTCAGTAGAATAAGCGCTTGCCTGGCAAGCACAACGGCCTGAATTCAATCCCTGGTTCCGCCAAAAAATAAATAAATAAATAAAAGAAATCAGAACCAACAGTAGTAACAGAAAGCCCTCGCATTCTGGTCTTACTTTGACAAATTTCTGATTGCTTTTAAATTAAAAAGCAAGTTTGTCATTGGTACTGAACCTCTTGTCTGACCAGCAGGGCACTAACATATGAGAAAACTCACTCTCCTTACCTACTTCTATAAACTGTCTGAGAAAGAAGCAGATGGCCCATAAATCATGGTCCCTCTTTAAAAATGTCCTCTGTAGAGCCTAAGGCATAGTTAGAATATGCTTATGTGTACATTTTATAATCTTTTCTTTAATAATTGTACAAACTATATAAAAACCTTTCTTCCAGCTTTTTCTTAAAATATTTACGTGATACTTATTCAATTTTGGTTTCATTTAACTTTTTACCTTTTCACCATTCCAGGATTGTAAAGATAGATCTTCATAAAGTGTCTTTCCTTCTCATGATAACCATAAAAAGGCCTGAAAGATAAGAAAGAAATACTTTAAATTATTTCTATCATTCAGAGATGAAATACAATTTATGTCCCTAATTAGATTCAGCTGTTCTATAGTCTTATTTATATAATTCAGTCTTACATTTAGTAGTACCTAAAAGAAAAAGCAGTAAGAGAAAAGCCAAGAATTTTCAATTAAACCTACCAGAAGTTAAAGTATGAAATACTACACATTTTTTCCAATTTTTAATTGTTTTTTAATAGTGCTTTTAAAATCTTTTTTGTTACACGTTTTAAAATACTACTTTGTAAAAAAAGTAGCAGACTATTTCTGTTTCCATCTCAATCATAACTCCATTAAAAAGGTGCTCTTGTCCACCTACCTATAATGCCCTGAAAATAGCCAAATATTGTTTCCTGTGTGGTTTGGCCTACTGTAGTCCCTAGAAAACACCCAGGTGGTGGGGGCAATCCTCCTATTCTTAGAAGTAGTACTTAAACAGCCTGTTCTCAGAAGCTTGCCTTACATAGAGCTTGAAAAGCAGATGTTCGGCCATACAGCCCTCAGACTTAAGAAAAAGCTGGGCAGACCTCCTTGATCAGATCAATTCCTAGCAGCTCCAGAAAATCACCACTGTAGCTCTTGTGCATTGACAGGAATACTGTCTGGGTCCATGGGTACAGCCTGGCTCCTACATGGCTCTTAGACCAGGAGTGTCAAACCTATGGCATGAATGTCACAGCAGGCTGTTCATGACTGAATGCTCTAAAAGGTTTGCCATCATTGCCCTAGACACTGACAAACATTCCTCCACAATACAAGGCTCTCTGTGCCACACCCAGGTGGGGACTACTAGGGTAGCCATGACTTAAAATAACCCCCAGAAACGGAGGTACACTATGCCCAGAGCTACTACCAGCAAACTTCACATTCCCCAGGAGATACCTCTTAGCTGGCAGTGCAATCTCACAAACCCTATAGTCTAGGAGACTGACAGAGACTTTACTAGCATTGATTTGTACTACAGAAGCTACACAGTCACTATACTAAAGTGCCCACTTATAACCAAAGTGAACATATCATATCCAACCAAAACTTTAGGACACATAGCAGCACAAAGCCTTTTTAGTAAATGTCACTCCATAAATTGGCATAGGCAACTACCTGGTATATAAATACTAATATTATGGAAGCATGAAAAAAAGAAACAAGTTAACATGACACTTAGAACACAGTAAATGTTTAGAACACAAAACAAAAAACAAAAAACAAAAAAAAGAAAGAAAAAGAACAAACTAATTGCCTGAAAAAGACTTAAAAAAAAAAAAGATTTTAAGGAACCTTGAGACACAAGAGAACACAGACAATACAACGAAATTAGGGCCAGGTGTGATAACACACATCTGGAATTCCAGCACTCTGGAGGCAGAAGCAGTATGATTGCTGTGAGTTCAGGGCCACACTTACCTACTTAGCAAAACCCTGTCTCAAAAAAAAAAAAAAAAAAAAAAAAGCAACACATGATAGGAATGAGAAATTCAGCAAAGAGAGATCATAAAAAAGAAGTAATAAGACATCTTGGAGCTAAAAAACTCAATAAATTAAACAAAAAAATTGAACATTGAGGGGCCAGAGAGATAGCCACATAGGCACCTGGACCAAAAAAAAAAAAAAAAATTGAGGAGACAGGAGGCCTTGAGTCTGACTTTCAGTATCTAGCTAGCTATCTCATGTATCATTCAACAGTCAAAACTCAGAAATAGGAGGATCACTATGAGTCTGGGCTGCATAGTGAGACTCTGTACCAAATAAATAAATAAAAGATTAAAAAAAAAAAAAAACCTCACAGATAGAGAAGATTTTAAAAATAGACGTGAAATAGTACTAAGTCACACATAAGAGAATTCTCACTAGAATAAGAACACACATCTTGACAGAAACCTTTCAGGTCAAGAGAGAATGTGACAGTATGTTCAAAGTTCTGAAAGAAAAACTGCTAACACAGAACACTTACTTTATCCAACAAAGCAGTTTTCAGAAATGAAGGAGAAACACTTCTCAGAACATGCAAAAACTGAGGGAACTCATCACCACTACTGTAGGCATCACAGCAAATATTTAAGGGAACTTTATGTTCTTATAAAAGGATGATAACTACTATCATGAAAATACATAAAATACGTAAGTTAACAGTAAAGCAATACACAAAAAAAGAGAATAAAGCCTTATAAATACAAAAAGCAATGAACAACAAAAAAGAACATAAAGCAGCAGCAAAGGACAAAAAAACTTTATAGGATGCAAAGAATATGTATTTACTAATCAATAACCACCTTGAATATACATAATTATATTCCTTAATTAAAAATATACAATGACTAAAAGAATTTTTAAAAACTAGTCTCAAGAATATACTGCCAGGAAAAAAAAAAATACTGCCAGGGCCAGTGAGATAGCTCAGCAGACTAAGCACCTGCATTGCCAATACAGGGAGTGGGGTTCAATCCCAGGTCACACATACAGTGCTAGCAACAACCCTGGGGGCATGCTCAGCCAGTGATCAAGTCTGGGTGTGGTGGCACATGCCTGCAATCCCAGTGCTGGGTAGGTTTAAAACAGGAGGATCACTAGGAGTCTGAGCTGCATAGTGAGATACTGTATCAAATACATAAGTGAAAAAAGAATGCACTGCCTACATGAAACTGCCTTCATCAGTAAAGATACACAGGCTTAAAGTGAAAAAAGAAAACCAAAACAATAATGCAAATGATAAGTAAAAATGAATAGATACATAAAATAGTTTTACTACAAAACCTACAAAAGGAGACAAAAATGATCACTAGAAAATGATGAAAGGTGGGCCGGGGAGATGGCTCAGTGGAATAAGTGCTTCCCTGGCAAGTGTAAGGGCCTGAGTTCAATCCCTGGTTCCGCAAAAAAAAAAAAAAAAAAAAAAAAAAAAGATGAAAGGATCCATTCAGTAAAAAGAAATAACATATGTTAGGAACATATATGTACCCAATACTAGAATAGTCAATTATATAAAGCAAGCTATAGTCGATCTAAGAGGAAAGACAGATTTTAATAATTAGGAGGCCTTAAGATCTCACTTCCATCACCAGAATGATCATCCATATTAAAAAAGTCTACCAAGAAACATTACAATTAAAGCATAATACAGCAGAGTAGACCTAACACATATATACAATATTTCATTCAACAACTGCAGATACACATTCTTCTCATGTAACAAATGTAATATTCTCTTGGCTAGACTATATGTTAGGCCACAAAATGTCTCAACAATTTAAAAGATGAAAAATATATCATATATTTTCTCTGACCACAAGAGAATGATACTGGAAATCAATAGACAAGTCAGAAATTGCATAATTATGGAAATTAAAATACATTCTCTTGAATAAACAATAGGTCAATTAAAAAAATGAAAAAGGAATTTGAAAATTTCTTCAAACAAATCAAAATACGATATATGAAAATCGAAAGAATACAGTAAAAATAGCACCAAGAAGAAATTGTAACAATTTTTTCACTAAAAAAAAAAAAAGATATAAAAGAAAAACCTGATTCTGTAACTAAAGAATGTGGAAAAGAACCAACCAAATCTAAAATAAGTAGACTGAAATAACAAGGACCACAGAAATAAATGAAATACTGCTCTCAAAAAAACCCCCACAAAAACAGAAATGAAGAACTAGTTTAAACAACATTGATATTCTTCGACTAGACTAACCAAGAACCAAATAAAATCAAAGATGAAAAAAGAAACACTATAATTGATATCAAGATGATACAAAGGTTCATGACATGTATTATGAACATCTATTTGCCAATAAATCAGAAGCAACATTAGAAGATACAGGTCTATTTCTTGGCACACATAATCTACAAAAATTGAACCAGGGAGACAGAGAAAACAACAGATCAGTAACAAGTGACAAGTCTGAATCAGTAACAAAAAGCATTTCAAAAAACAAAACAGAAACTCAGGACTACATAGATAGCTTCACTGATGAATTTTACTACACTTCAAGAGAAAAGTTAATGCCAATTCTTCTTAAAATATTCCAAAGTATTGAAAATTAGACAACTCTTTCAAGCTCATCTTCCAAGGCCAGCAAATTACCCTGACAGTAAAACTAGATAAAGATATAACAACAACAAACTAAAGACCAGTATCTCTGCTGAACATGCAAAAATTCTCACACAATAATAGCAAATCAAATCGAACTGAGTGTGGTGCTGCACACCTGTAATCCTGCTAATCAAAAGGCTGAGGCAGGAGAATCATTGTGAGTTCCAGGCCACCCTGAACTACAAAGTGAGTTCAAGGACAGCCTGCACTTAATAGTGACACCCTGTCTCAAGGAAAAAAAAAAGAAAGAAAAGAAAAAAAGATTATACACTATAATTAAGCAGGGTTTATTCCCTAGATATAAGAATGGCTCAACATACAAAAATATCACACAGGGGCTGGGGAGATGCTCAGTGGAATAAGTGCTTCCTTGGTAAGCGCAAGGGCCTGAGTTCAATCCCTGGTTT